CCCTAAAATAGTGCCCTCAGAAAGGGATAAACTCAGCTGCAGATTGGCAAACGAGATCTGTCCAAGGAAGATAAAAGCTTAGCTCAGGGCCTAAAGAACAAGGAGTATCTTTAAATAAACACTGGTTTTGGAGTTCCAGAGCGATGTGAGGGTGGGGAACCTTTCTTCTGTCAAGGCCATTTGGGTATTTATAACATCATCCGAGGGCCATACAAAATGATCAACTTAAAAATTAATTAGCCTACTACAGATTTATTGAATGTTGAGTCCCACCTGCAGCTGCCTCAGCAGAGCCAAACCATGTAATTTCTTTTTTAAAAAAAGATTTATTTATTTATTTGAAAATCAGAGGTAGAGAGAGAGAGAGGAGAGGCAGACAGAGAGAGAAAGAGGTCTTCTGTCCGATGGTTCACTCCCCAGATGGCTGCAATGGCCGGAGCTGCGCCAATCCAATGCCAGGAGCTTCTTCCGGGTCTCCCACGCAGGTGCAGGGGCCCAAGGCCTTGGGCCATCTTCTACTGCTTTCCCAGGCCATAGCAGAGAGCTGGATTGGAAGAGGAGCAGCCGGGACTAGAACCGGCGTCCATATGGGATGCCAGAGCTTCAGGCCAGGGTGTTAACCCAGTGTGCCACAGCGCCGGCCCCCAGACCATGTAATTTCACAGACCTTATACAGCCTGTGGGCAGGACATTCCCCACCAGTGTGGGTGGACAGATAAAACTCAACTTCATTCTTACAGTGTCTTGTTATAATAATCAGATTTTGTATTCTAGTATAAACAGAAAATGTACAAGTCTGAGTGATGAGATTGCTATGGTTTGAAAGGGTTTATGAGCAATTCAGGTGCTGAGATTTAATTCTTTTCAAGAGGCGATATTGGGGCTGGCGCTGTGGCATAGTGGGTAAAGCCATGTGGGTGCCGGTTCAAGTCCTGGCTGCTCCTCTTCCAATCCAGCTCTCTGGTGTGGCCTGGGAAAGCAGTGAAAGATGGCCCAAGTGCTTGGGCCCCTGCACCCACATGGGAGACCTGACTGGAGGAAGCTCCTGGCCCCTGGCTTCAGATTGGTGCAGCTCCAGCCATTGCAGCCATCTAAGGAGTAAACCAGCAGATGGAAGATTTCTCTCTCTCTGCCTCTGCAAAGTCTGTAACTTTGCCTTTCCAATAAATCAATCTTTAAAAAAAAGTCCGTATGAAGAGGCAGGTCCTTTTGGGGGTGATTAAGTTGTGAAGGTTCCATCCTCATGAATGGTCACTGGACGGCAGGGAACTTGCTTTCTGCCACACGAGGATCCAGCAACGAGACTCCAGCCCAGGAGCAGAGAGCGGCCCTCAGTGGGCACTGGTGCTGACCTGTGGGGAGCAACCGAGACTAGACTAAACTACTGGAACTGCTAAGACTAACTCTATGCATCTGATCTCCCACCATATGGCGCTGAGAAGGAGTAAACGACTTCCACACAGCTGCCTCAGCAGTTCGACTAACAAGCTGCAGGAGCTGATCCTGCTCCTGACTGGAGGAGAGCAGCGTGCTCAGCGCGTGGGGAGAGAACGCCAGCAGAGTTGGGATTGGTGGAAGAGGACTATAAAGGAGGAGAGAGACAACATGCAGGAGGAACATCTGAGGAACCCCTGAGAGAGCCGACCGGCGGTGTGCCACTACTCTGCAGAAGCGGGGGTGGGGGCGGGGGCAAAC